AACATCTTATCTTAACCGCCTTATCTAATGCACGGTTACGTACTTCAGTAAAATTCTGTTTATATGGTTTTGTTAACTTCAAGATAAATTCTTTTGTTTGCAATAATTTTATTATTTTCCTTTTATTTGTTTAAATTGGTTGTTCTGTTGTTAAATTTTTATTGATTACCTATTCTAAATAGAACATAAAACTAGAGATAAATATATAGTAACAATTGTATTGTAACTTTGTTATCACAACACTTAGGAATGTCAAATATTTATATAACCTGCAGAAAAACCTTGTTGATAATTAATAAATACTAGTTATAATATTTAACTTTCTATTATTTGCAGGTAATTATTCTTGAATCCATAATAATACAATAAAACAATTGAAAACCAAAAGTAAGTAATCACCTGATTAATGAAAGAAATAAAATTTATTTATATATATACATGTTATATACCATATATTCACAAAAAAGAAATATATAGAGTCGGTTTAAAATATTAATAAATGAAACAGATATTATATACCAAACATCGTCTTCCTCTTATTCATCTAACATATATTACATCTAACATATATTATAACCCATAATATATATGAATGATCTTTAACTTTTTGAACTAAATTTTTGGATCTCTCTGGAAAAGATTGTAACATTTAAAGCAATGTTGGATTTTATTACTTTTGCTCAGGGCGTCGAACCGGAACCGAACGGAAAACCGGAAAAGACCAAACCGAAAAAAATATATCACTTTATTTCAGTTCAGCACCTTCTAGTTTGTTATCTGTGCATCTCTTTCTTCAGTTGAAGTACCGAAAACCATAAACAACCGATAGTTTTATCGAAACGGGAACTGAACCAATATATTCTTTTGACTTGAACCGGAACGGAAAAAAATCAGATTCGATGCCCTGCTTTTGCTACAACTCAACATTTATTTTTAACATCTAATGTGATAATAATAAAGAAATTATAAAAAAAATTGGAGTCATACTCGTATATATACAAAAATTATTACAGAAAATAATTATATATTATAACCTATATCTCAAGCAACAAAGTTTCAAAGTGGAGTTTAATATTCTAAATAATTTTTTTCACTATGCCATATGCCGATATCGCTGAGATCTCAAGATATTTTTTTTTTTGTTTTTCTTATTATTATTTAAACAAAAAGCAACGTTTAAATTAACAACAACTAGTCACATTGACTAACAAGAGGTTTTTCAATCTCGAGACATCGAAGTTTAAAGTTGTTTTTTGAATGAGTTAGTGGTCCTCACCTCACCACCTGAATGTATTGAACCAGAGCTAAAATTACAATTATATTCTTGGGAAAAGTTTTCAAAAAAGTTGAAAAACATTTTGCCTCTGGTTACCAAAACAAAATAAACTCCTCTTATACATAAAAAAGTTAATATAAAAAATAAGCAAGACTTTAAAAAATAAATTTAGAAATATTTTAAGTTTTATTTCTTCTCAAATAAACCTTTTTTGTTATATTATAATTCAAAATAAAAAGCTTTTAGGAATTCACAATGATCAGGCATTTGTGGTTAATTTGTCACAAATTAACAAAAGCCAAACGAAAGTGAATGGTTATATATTACATAGCACTGAAGGTTTTGTAATCTTTTAAAGCCATTGCGATAATTTACAGAATGACTACAAATAATTGTCATGGAAGTGAATCATCCAACAAGACCGAAATAGCAATAGGCGATTAATTTCAGTTGAAAATATACTTATGTATCTAAGATTTGTTATAATAAGCACTTTCTATTTTATTTTATTGTTAAATAATATATAGAAAATGAGGTATTCTGGGGGCACTGAATTATTAAACTACATGTACACAAATTTAATCGCAAAACAAGCATTTGTTATTAAATTAAACTGTCTATTGTTTTAATTTTTTAACCGAAATAAATTAAATATTTCAAGTATTTGTATATTCATATTTATTCTATAATTATTCGGATTCTAACGTGCAGCCAACTTTCGTAGTAAATATTTGACTATATACTAGACACATTTGTAACATTAAATATTTATTAAACTTATATCTTTAATATAAATTAATTCAGTTTTGACAAAATAACTAATTAATTTAATAGAAACTAGTATATTTGGTAGAGAGGTTTCAAAAAGTAGTTAACTACAACAACTAAAATTTATTTTATATTATTTAAATTAATCGATTTTTTGGCTGACTATACAGCTGTTTCGAGTATTACAAAATACACATCACATCTTTGAACTTTTTTTTGTATTTAAATTTTCGTAAATAATTTTTTGATACTGCAAGTACTAAGGGTTGAACTCGATCCCTACCAAATGTAAAGCTTAGAGTCAGTGTTCATTAGACAAATGATCCAATTTGATTTGTATTTTCGCGCTTTGGAGTTTTACTAAACTTACAGCTTTTTAATAAAATATTATTAAAAAACTATTAAAAAAAATTTGTGAATTAACAATACATTTTACAATATCTACGACAAAAAAATTTTATTAGAAGTTAATTGTAGTCATTTCTATTTTATGAAAGTCAATGAATAATTTTTTAATTTAAATAAATTAAATTTAAGTTAAATAAAGCTCATCATATTTTATATAAAATTATTAAAAAACAACAATATATTTTAAAATTAATAAAATATTTCCATCGAATATTATTTGGTTAATTATTTATTTTCTATTCAATTATTAAAATTTATATTATATATTTATTATATAATTTATATTATAATTTATATTATAATTTATATTATATCGTTAATATAAACTCCATACAATTTTACAACTTATTCGGTATATATGTATATATGTACACTATACATACTATACATACTAAGATATTATTATTTGTAATTTGTAACCATTAAATGAATTTCAATTACAATTTTTTAGAATATATATTAAAATTAATTAATTAATTAAAATAAAAATAAATAATTACTTAATTGTAATTTGCTATTATATTTATAAAATCATTCCTTTAAACTATTGTTAAATAGTTAATAGATAATTTTTTTTGCTTTTAATCTATAAATGAATACGAAATTAAATTAATTTAATGAAGTATGAAATTACTTTTCCCTTTTTTGTACTGAAATACTATATATACCTAATACTATATATTATATTAATAGCAGCACATTAACATCAGCGCTTAATATAAAAATTATCTAATTACACACATAAATGAATAGACTTTACTATTACCATTTTTATCTGATTTATCTGATTATTATCCTATTATAATTAAAAGTTGCAACTTTTAAGGATCAATAAAAATTTAATAAATCCTATTAGTGGCAATATATGTATATATATATATTTTCTGTAATATTGATTGTTTAAAAGATCCATGTCAACTTTACGACACACAATTGTAAGCAGTCAGAAAATATTGTATAATCTAATATATAATTAAATTCGTAATCTATGCTTTAAATCATATATTTTTTATAACTAAACATAAATATCTTTTTTAAAACTATAAAAAACCAAAATGGAATGATATAACAATTTTTTTAATACATATTAAGCAAAGAAATAATTTATATTTATATTTATACAATTTATATTTATTTATATTTTTAATAGTATTTAGGCACTTGTAGTGAATGGCATTTATTGCTATTTAGTAAATCATTTAAGTCATTTACATAGTTATATATGTAGTTAAAGTATTTCAAATTTGCACGTCAGTAGAAACTACACTGCAATTGCAAGTTACTATTTAATTTACTTATTATTTGTTCGTTACAACACATAATAGAGCTATATAAATATAATATAATGGTCTTAAAATGGTCTTAGTTAAATTCATTCAATGAGTTAAAACTTTTACTTCGATTCTTCAAGTACCGTAAAATGATCGTAATTTCGGTAAAACCAGAAAATAATTAATAACTAATTATGGTTAAAAATAAAAAAAAATTATTTAATTTTTAATTTAGTAAATTATTATTACGACCAATATTCAATTAGTTTTTTATTTGTTACTGGGCTTATGTCGTTATAAATTTATGTGTTAAATAAACGAAACAAATAAAAAGAAACAAGAAACAAATAAAAAAATTAACTTTTAAATTAGTTAAAAATTTATATTTAATATCTACTTAATTTCTTAGTTAGATATCACTAAGAAATCTTAATCACCATTAGTTATTACATTATTACTTATAATGTAATAACTAACAGTGACATCACGAAAATATATGTGCGGTATGTGAAGGGAATAGTGTTTTTATTACCATATAGCACAAAGAGGAAGGAAATGAGTTCCATATTCATACCATAAATGTATGTGTATGGTTTTAGTACCTATTTTCCCTATTTATAAATATTTATTTTTTTTAATTGTCATTCATATGATTATAACTTTTTATATTATCATTAATCGGTAATTTTAATACAATACATTATATTACATCTATATATTTTCATTGTGTAGTTGACAGGGTTTATGACTCTAACTGAATAGAGCACTACGAACAATTTATCCTAAACTAAAAGCAATGTTTTGAGTCTTTTGAATAAATGTCAAAATGTCTTTTGTTGACTAACTAATAACAGATTCACCTCCTAAAAAGTGCAGTTTAAAGAATGTGAATCTCAAAGTCTCAAATCCTTCTTGACAATAAACAACATTCTGTCATATCAAACTTATAATTATAATTGCCTTCCTGGAAGTAGATGGCATTCTGTCATCGCAAAAAGTATTGAGATTAAATTTTTTAAAATTATTAATAATACTAATTGAGATTAAATTTTTTAAAATTATTAATAATACTAATTTAATAAAGTTAAAATTAAAGTTAAAGTCAAAATTCAAAATAATTTAAAATTTTTAGTACAGTATATTTGACGCCTTCAAAATTTTTTAATTGTCCATCAA